TCAAAAGGACATTGATACAGTTAGGTATACAATGAAAGGGATTATTTTCTTCCAACCAAATTGTGTAACTGATATCATGTTTACCATTTATATTTAATTTTTCAAATGGTCATTTGAGAATTTTATCACTCCTGTATAAGGATCTGTGTTTAAACAGTGATAATCCAATTGTCAGAGCTCATGGATGCTTTCTTCAGTTCTAGATTCCAATCCTGTTTGAACTGTTGACTCACATTTTAATCCCTGGCCAAACCTTCTTGTACCTCCATAATCCCAGCTGGAAAATTAGGTAAAATAAAAACATGACCTCATTAAGAAACAGATGCTTCATCTGAGCACTTTCTTTCCCAAGTAAACACATTACAGAGCTTCTGGTAACTTTTTTTAGGATGTGGTGCTGTGTCCCCTTGACCATTGGTCAGTTTAGGATCAGGAGACAGGAGCATGAAATTTAGTTTAATTCGCAGACCAAAGTTCAGAAAAACAACCAGTTTCCTTCCTGAGGTTAATAGTGTAAGTCAGCCACAACTGTACTGCAATACCTGAGTTGACTAGGAAGCCTGCCTACCAGTTTCCCTTAATGTGTCCTGACTCCTCCACTTGTTATCACCGATTTTCCAACAGTGAATTCATTGATAAATTTAAAGAGACTCGATGTTCTTTAAATCTCTCTTGGGAATTCAAAGATGAAATTTATTTAACAAAACATAACCTATGTACCAATTTAAAAAGAAGATTGTCACACTGGAAGAATATTCAAATGACCAATTGTTTGCTATTTCTGCAAGAACAATATAACTGAGAATTATTACTAGGGGCTTTGCTTTGACATAACGCACCATTAAACTTATTTCATTAGTATAATTCAGAAAAAAAAACACTTTCTTGATCTTATTTTGTGGGGTGGGTACTTATTAGCATGGCTTTTGTATGTATTAAGAAGAGATGGATATTTCCTAACAAATTATACCTTGACTTTTGCTGGTGACTTCAAACATCAAAATTTATTTTGAAGTATGGGAACACCTCACATTTTCCCCAACACATTTCTTGAGTCTCTCAGAAAATACTCATGGATTAGATAGTTGCATGATTCTGGAAATTTCACTCTGGCTTCAATCTGTCACCCCCTCCACAATTTATTTTGAGACTATTATCAAGTGAATACACTATATTAGACTGTTTAGCCTTTCATTACCTCAGAATTTCACGTGAGAAGTTTCCAATTACATCAAAAATTAAGGATTCTCTATAAAAGATCGCATTGTAAACAGAATTGCCCAAGCAAACTTCTTTTCGATGTTTTGCATGTCTGCTAATTACAAATGGCTCTAAATACAAATACTGTTTCTTCCCCAAAACCAGACTTTGTGATATTTAGCTGAAGCCCCAACAGTGAATGGCTGCCCCTAAGTCTCCCTCCACCTTTTCTCTCACTAGTTTTCACTCCCTGTTTTACTGAAGGAGCTTTCTCAAAGATCTTTTTTAGCTCCCAATTCTCCCCACTCTTCTGTTCCTACTTTGTGACTCTGGAGAAGGAAATAACTTCATCTCTTCAAGGGCATGAATTGCCTTTCTCTGTCCCTTCCACCAACCTTGCTGCTGTGTATTTCTCTAAAACCTCACTGTGAAATACAACGTAATGAGAACAGCAAACTCCTTTAGTGTTGTAGACGCTTTCTCCAACACTTCTTCAGATGCTGCAGGAGCTGTTTCAGCCTCTGCGGCATGAATGTCTAAGTCCGATCTGTGGGTGATGCTGCTGGGTCCTGCCTGTTTCAGAAATCCTTCATCTCCAGTCCACACTGTTCATTCTGAACATTCCCATAAATGATTTATGAGCAAATTTCTCCCTGAAAAGGAAGATGTCGGAGAAGCTTAAGTCCATCCTGGAGGATAAGTCTAAATTTTGATTCACCTTTGCAACTGTTTGAAATACACAATTGTCAGCTGTGATGTTATATTTTAATTTCCTAGAGTCCAGATTTCCTGTGTTAGTAAGCATCAGGGTTATAGTGTGAGCTCTCATGTAAGCTTCCTTTTAAAGTATCTTCGTGCTGGTATAGGGACCTTGCCATTTCAGGGTTCAAGGACATTGGAAAATTTAAGACTGACATGAGACATCTTAGCAAAACTGATGGAGGACTCATATTTTTAAAATTCTACTCCTTTTGCTGTTCACATCCTTTAGTATGTGTGTCACATCTTTCCTGAAGAGCATCCAAGCATTCCTCACATTGATCTTCCTTTTCAATTTCCATCCAGCTCCTGAGGGGAAGTCACATGGGTCCCTCACTGTGACCTGGTTCCAGCCACTCTGGAACTCACTGCCTGCCTGTTTCAGGGGTGCTCACATGTTCTTCCCATTGCCTGTCACTCTCCCTGCTCTAGAGAGAGTCTGCCTCTCCCAGCCAGCTCATGGGCTTACCCCCATGGAGAGCAGAAGGCTCATTTGCTCTTTCAATTAAACCCCAGGCAGTCCATTTCTGCCTGACTCTGGGGATCTTAGAAAATTCACATCTCTTTTCAGCTTTAGAGGAGGTGGAGCTAAGATTTGTTCATGATCAGCATGGCAATCTTCTCTGGTACAATTTCTTAGATGTAACTTTAGTGGCAGTTGAATTACTGGGAATTGAAATGGAGAAAACTATGTTATATGCATTCTTGACTATGTCAGAATGAACTCCATTCTTATGTATAACTACGATGCATTAAAAATTAATAAATAAAAAGATTCCATGGATTAACTAGTAAATTTGGGTAGCAAAAAGAAAATATCACAATATGATGCCGCATAACATGTCAAATGATCCATTAAATTATGCCATCTTAAAAGATGCCTTGCTGAAAGAGTTAAAAATGTTTTACATCTATATGCCTTGCCCCTCTATATGAAAGAAAAAAAACAAGGTACTTTCCCAGCCCCTCAAAGTGAATTTGATGTTGGCCATACGGCCTGTATTTTAAGTCAGAAATCTAAAATCTAGCCTCCAAATGAAGTGAAAATCCCTTGATGCAGTAATAAAACTGCATATGGAAAGTGCTATTTATATCAATTTGAAGGAAAAGGCTGTTACTCCATTTAATGCATATGAATATCTTATGAAAGAGAATGCAAAAATCACATTTTTCAATATAGAAAATCTGGATTCAAATATATATTGTATTACAGAGGTTACTTTGGGCCACTTTTCCTTTTTTCTCTTATGTACCAGATCAAAAACTTAAATATAAAATTTTTCCACACAACTCCCACAGTGCAAGCTGATAAAGCTTCTACCTTGAAAAAGTTCAGGATCTGTGCAATGGATTCTCAGTGAGTGTTTGTTTGACAAAATGACTTCCAGTAATTTTAAGGAAGATTCTGTTTTTCTGTGGCCTGTGATCCTAAAACTCTTAACACACTACTCAAAAATTAGATGGTCCCTCCTAATCTGCCTTTGCACGTTATCCAGGACATACTTTATAATGTCTGATGCACATTCATGCTTCTGTCCAAACAAACTGAGCATAACAGTGGGAGGGTTTTCCAGAGAGACCTTGCTAGCCTCATAAATACTGTTGAAGTCAATTACCAAATAAATAGCATAAATATGTGGCGACTTGGAAGGTCACCGAGCCCTAGTCACTTAATTTCAGCCACAACAGCAGTCAGCTGCTCAGTGAACAATTTTATTATGAGGTGTCAGTGATTTAACAAGTTGGCCAAAAGTAGTCAGAATGCAGCATGAAAGATTTCCTGTCTGTTGAGTTTGACCGTGTATGCTGGACTCCTGATAGAATGGCCCAAGTTTCTGTACTTAGCACTCAGGAACCAAAGGAAAATGAAGGAATCAATTTGCTCTATTATATTCTACATGCTTTTCAGTGAATTTTATATGATTCTACAAAGCTTTGCTAAAAGCACTGTTAGGGTAATTTGTTGTCTACTTTTTAGAGTTTCTGCAAACTGCTAGAACTGCTTATCTGAGTTTTTTTAAAGTAGTCTTTTAGATATATTGGGGAATGTCAATTTATCCTTAGACTGCTTGAAAATTGGTATTAGGTAATAAAAAGCAATTTACTCAGATTATAGGAATGTGGTGATGTACTCTGTGTAATGGTATCTGACTAACAGAATGGCAATAGTGTGGGCTGGGATTACAGAGAGCCTGGTTGGGAAATTTAAGCACAAGTACCACCTGGCTGATCAATCACATCACAGTATCTATTTGCTTTGCAGTCTTGAACACTCCATCAAGGGCATCTTGATCTTTCAAACATTTCTTAAATGGAGATGAATATACTTTCAAAATAAGCTGTTTATTTGTGAGACTAGTAATCAGTCACAGTTCCCTAAATAACAAAAAGAAATGAAGGTATGAAGTAAGCTTACATTTGCATGGAACCTAAAAGCTGCTCGTTTTCCCTCTCTGTCTTTGCCTCTCTGGTACATCTCACATAAATACTTATGTACTTGACCAAGAAAATAAATCTCTGACATTCAAGAACCATCTCTCAAGTGTTTGCAACTTGCATGGCATTAAGTTAAATGCAAAGGTTTCAGCAGAGTATTGGGGACAGATGCACTTTGATCTCATGGGGCTTAGGGTTGATCAGAGAAGGCAGAAAATTAGACAATCAAAATAATATGTGGTGAGGGCTATGACATAATCCCACAGTTGCCTTGCAAATTCTAGATTCTAAATAAGGCTTTGTTTCTACGTGTCTTTGAGCATATGTGAGCCAGATGAATTAGGGGAATATCCATTCTCAAATTTTTCAGTTTTCTTCCAAATGTTCACCCCAAGTAATGGTTCCACTAACTACACTCAGCTTTTATTTCTCTAGAGTGCAGTCTTTGGGTGAGGAAGAAATTAAAATGAACTCATTTATAATTGGGAACAAAAAAATCAAGTGTCAGCATAATTGTCAGGGAAAAATAGAAATGCAAAACCACTCGTCATTGGCACTTCCTTTATTCGCTCCCACATTGGTGCCTTCTCTGTTCTCTCCCTTAGGACATCTACTTGGCCTCTCCCATGACGATTCCAAATTCTGTGAAGAGAACTTTGGTTCCACAGAAGATAAGCGCTTAATGTCTTCCATCCTAACCAGCATTGATGCATCCAAGCCCTGGTCCAAATGTACCTCAGCCACCATCACAGAATTCCTGGATGACGGCCATGGTATGTATTCTTCAGGACAACAGAGGCTCAAGGGAAGAAAGCTGGGATTCTTAGGAACTTTACTTTCTTGCTTTCCCATAATGTTCATTTTGGTTGTTTAGACAGTGTCAAAACAGGAGCAAGGAAATTGATTGTCTGTTGGTGTGTAATGCCAGCATCCCTGGTGGCTTTATAGCTATGGTATTTTTGCTTTTGAATTGTAAAGTTCAAAAGAGAAACCGTGTGGGAGACCACACAGAATGCCTAGCGGGTGCCCTGAAAGCCTGGCTTTTATTCCCTCTCTCACCACTGGCTTCCTGTGAGAACTTTGGCAGACATCTTGGTTTGCCTGCTATTAATACGACTCTCAGAATTATTTGTTACATGCCTATTACAGGGGTGTGGTTTAGGTGTAGGTGACAGTTCTACCGGATTCCCTTTATGGCAACATAAAACCCGCAAAGGAAGCTCTCTAGATTTTCATTGACTGGAAGAATTTGATTTCATTCTGACAGCAGATTCCCCTGAAAGTAGAATAAAAACTGCAGAACAGAAACAGAAAAGGAATCTAAATGATGGGAAAGCACTTTAAGAACTTCAAAAGAAAGTCTTTGACTTTATCCTTTAGAGACAGTTCAAGAACATAGTACACTTTATTAAATCTTTAAGACTAGGATTAGAGATGTAAATTATATAGAAATAGAGGAAATTATAATTTTTAGAAATAATAAATCCTAGCCCCGAAATAATCTCTGAAGCAAGCTATTGCAAATTTTCTCACATCCTTTATTACTTAAAATTAATAGGAAATCAAGAGGGTGAACACATGAGCATCGAGGAGAAATCTTCAGATATCATATATTTCACTTCACATCATCTACTAAAAAGGACATATTCTTCATTTTTGCTCTTTTAAAATTCATCTCTTTCTAAAATTAGTGCTTAAATCAAATATCATAATATAATTTTTCATAAAGTTACCTTATGGTGTATGGTTCAGCATCTGTGATTTTGGCCTTTCCCAAATCCACAAAGTTTATAACTTATTATATTTGTAATTTCTTAAGAGTATTAGTGGGGCTGGGGATGTGGCTCAAGCGCGCTCGCCTGGCATGCGTGTGGCCCAGGTTCAATCCTCAGCACCACAAACAAAGATGTTGTGTCCGCCGATAACTAAAAAAAAATAAATATTAAAAAATTCTCTCTCTCTCTCTCTCTCTCTCAAAAAAAAAAAAAAAAAAGGTGTTAGGATCTTGAACTTTGGCCACACAGTGTCAAAATGAGGATAATTAAATTCATTTTAGACAGAAAGAACTTCAGCCACACAGTTCTTTGATATTATGTAGCCAGAATTTGCTCATTTATTCCTTCTTGTTACATCACTGATGAACTCTGAAGCCTTTTGCTACTTGCTGCTGTTTACATTATCTATCCCTAAACTAACCTGAGTCCAGCTTGGTGTAAAATTCCTCTCAATACAAAATAAATGTTGTTTGTTAGTGAAAGGTCAGCCTGATAACTTAAAAATTTCAGAATAGACTAGAAAGCAATATATTAGGCTTTTCCTTTAGACTAATAATAAAATAAGCATTTATGTTTTATTCATTAACAATGCTGGTTAGATGCTGATAAAGTCCTAAAATAAATGTTTACCTAATTCTTTTATCTACATAGATCAAGTCAATATCTGATAAAGTCTGTCTTCAGTGGAACCTTAACACTTCACCCCTAATATTACTTTTGCTGTTTTATTTTTTTTTCCTGAGAATGAAATAACATTAATATCTAATTTCAAAATCACACTTTGTACATTCCAAAAGGTTGAGCTAAACCTTGACTCATTAAATGAATGGATTTAGTTGCTAAGGCAGCAAATACTTATGGCTAAAATGGGACCAATTTTTTTTTCCTGAACAAGTATTAGGTCAACTAATTACAATGCTGTGCAGAATTTTGTTCCTTAATGCCATAATTTTGGAATGATTCGTGTATTTCATATTTTGAAAATCATGATCTTATTTTCTGTGCAGTAAATAGGCTTTCAGCACTGTCTTCAACTTTTAACATTATTTCTGTATTTAAAGAAGTTCATACTCTGAATTTTAACAGTTGCACAACAAATTTACTTTTTTAAATCTCTGTTTCTGTTCAAAAACACTCATGATAGAAAACAAGAACATAATTTTAGTAGACATAGATCTTCTTCAATTGCACTGATTAAAATTTCTGAATTTTCCAGATGTATATTAAATAAACATATTTAGTTATTAGAATTCTTTGAACAGAAAATTCTCAGTTTATGTATTGACTTTTTTCATCAAATTTAGATTCTCTTATTTTTGAATACATTGGTTTGGTTAGGCAGTGTTTTATCCTAGCCAAAACAAAGAATTCTATTTTATGAATCACATATAATGATTAAAGTAATTTCAGAACAATGAAATATAAAAGAGAGTAGTGTGGAACAGTGGCAAAGCTAAATTATGTCTCAATTCTTCTAAAAATAGCATACACAGAATTGGAGCACGTAAACTATAGTACTGTTATTTAATTGTGAATTCAAATTAGTTTAATTAACTTTTTAATTGGCACCCTCCAAACTGACTTAAATCATTTGAAGTGCAAAACCAGCCACAGGAATTAGGAAACTCAATTTCTAGATGATTGAGGTTTTGACATTTGAACTAAGGAACTTAGGAGCAAACCAAGGAGAATGTCGAAGCTCAAGGAAGGAAGAAAAATGAACATATATTTTGTCTAGGGATCAAAAGACTTTAGGATCCTTGTCACAAAACCTTTCACTTTACTCCTAGGGAGCTATGCAGACTTCCAGTCAGATGCCTGTTATTCATATTTTACACTTTTTACTATTTTTCTGCTCTAATTTTCTAGGACATTAACAATGTTAAGCAATAAAATAGTTGTAGGGCATGGGGAAGACTTCAGATAGGTAAACTGAGGGCAAGAAGTGGCATTGTTTAACAATAAAGAAGAAACAAAAACAGTGAAATATAGCCCAAAACCATAAAATGTCCAGTGGTCTGATAACCATTTTCCAAAAGGTCAAAAGTGCTATCACATTAGTATTATCCCTAAAGTTATCTCTATATTTTGGCATGATGCAATAAATTCAGAAAAAGAATGATTTTTCAATTTTATTGAGGAAGGCTAAATGGTAAAACTAATATAAAGACTGAAAAGCAATTGTTATTTTTTTAAGTAGGTATTCTCAATTACACAAAATGTGTGTAATTGTGTCTGTGTGGGTGTGTGTATGTGTGTTGCTGAGGACTGAACCAAGGTCCTCATATACGTGAGGTTAAAACTTCATCACTGAGCCACATCTCCAGACCCCAAATGTGCATAATTTTTCATGGTATCTTGGTATCTAAAGATTACTTTATCTGGAACATCTATCCATCTTATCCTTCCCTTCCCACCTCCAAAAGAGCTGGAGACAAGAGAAATTAAATTCAAAGCACTTGATTTATTTTAAAATTATTAGCTATAAGTGGCTGGACATTTGTAGCACTCAACCACTGCCAAACTTAAATTCATTAGCACTGAGTGTTTCCTGGTTTAGATCCAACAAGAAATATGCAGCAATTAATTTATGGCTGAGAAGTCAATGTGCACACTCAAAAGTAGCTGTCTCTGGAGATTGGTGATTCAGAAAGGAGTAGCCATGTCCCCTGGGACTCCTCTATGCCTGGCCAAGAGACTTTCAGAAGTCCTGAGTGTTTATACCCATTAGTTCTAGGCAAGCTGGCTGGGAGTGTGCTCTTCTAAAATAAAGGTAAGCACTGCCAGAGAAATTGTGCAGTGAAAGCAGGTTATTGAATTTCCTCTCTCCAATACTTAATAACCTTGAGGCCAAAAAAGATAGCTGTGTTTGCTGTATCCCTGAGTCCACAGTGCCAGATGATGAGAAAGGTCACCACCCAGGTAGGGACAGCTCAAGATCACCCGCAACACAGGCTGCTAAGAAGAATACTTAAAATATTAACATGTAGCTTATTTCAAGAGCAAAATTTATAGTCCCTCAGTGAACATTGAACTTTAGATAGAAAAAATGGTTTTGGAAAACCAGGTCTCTGAATCTTTTGCCAATTTTACAGCTTATCTGATTATATAATTTAGCATAAGAGCTCAACATTGAGTTTTTAAGGTAGTCTTAGTAAAATTCAAAGTCACTATGGTTGTACCTTGATTTTCACGATAAATGTTCTTTAAAAGGAATGCAAAGAAGACATCTAAGGCAATGGTGACCTATATTTTTCAAAAGCTTTGCTTCTACCTTTGGGATGGGGAGTTTTCAATCTTATTTCCTTGCCATTCCTTCTACTGAGTGGGCACCTTATGCCTCTAACAGCTTCTCAAACAGACTTTAGAGTTACTTTAGGTCAGTGACCTTTGTTCTTTTCTCAATGCCCTTGTTCAGTTATCTACCTCTGTCTCCCAAATGACTCATGGAATAGCAGGCAAATGCACCTATTTCTCTTTTAATGTCAGACATTTCAGCTAAGACCTGAAAGAAGAAGCACAAAGGCAGAGAGATGAAGTAGGAAGCAACATGAAGTCCTGTTGGGCCTCTTTGGATGCTTCAGTGGGGACAATGATTTCTTCTATGCCATGGCTATTTGGGGGTCAATTCTTAATTTTATGCCTGAGTATTGAAAGGATGGAAAGATTGAAATAACTAAAGTGCTATAATTACAGAAGGAAAGTAAAAATATAAAGAACAGCAACATTCATCTGATAATTCCCATGCACCATTTATATGAAAGATGAATAGTGCTAGAAGTTAGGTATGTAAAACCAGAGATCACCTGGAGGAAAGGACTACCTTCCACCCCACTGGTGGACCCCGGTGGCCAGATGGAAGCAACCACATTCTTTCTGTGTCTATCAAGGTACAACCATAGTGACTTTGAATTTTACTAATACCACCTTAAAAACTGAACATTGAGCTCTTATGCTAAATTATATAAACAAATAAGCTGTAAAATTGGCAAAGGATTCAGAGACCTGGTTTTCCAAAACCATTTTTTGTTCCCTGGAATGGGTCTGCCATTTAGTAGAGATGTCCATACTATTTTATTGCAGAAGGACATACATCAACTTTTAAAAAGGACATCTATAGACTGTATGACTCAGAGTATGCAGAAATGGTACAGTAACATATTCTAAGACTGAGAACATGGTGGTAATAAGTTAGTTATGTCGATCACTTGATAAAAAGAAATCGTTTTATTTTTAAAGGTTATCTCCACACAACTGCTAAGGAAAACGATATATATCTATTTCTTAATAGCAAAGCAAATATGTTCTTGGTTTTCAAATTTTATATTTCTGAATTAAGTGCTATGAAGAGAACCCACATCTTGAAGTCTCCTTGTTGTTGGCTGATTTCAAATAGTTTTCCCTCTATCCGTCTCTTCACTCATCATCAGCTGATGAGGTAGAGTCAGTGTCAATGACTTTGCAATCATAGTGAGTTTGCGACTCATTTTGCCTCCAGATAAGTAAAGTAGACCCGTGCCACGTGCATCCACACCTGGTCAAGACTTCCCAGCTAATATTTAGTTACCCAGTCCCAAGATCTGTGCTTTTGAGTAAAATTTTTTTTAAAAGTTTCTTAAGACAGCACTTTTGAGGAATTGGAAAGCGTTCTTGCTGATTCAGATTTGTTGACAGTCTTCTAACATCAGCAGTCTGCTAAGCCATTCTGGTTTCCACAGCGTGCTTTTTCCATCTAGCAATGAAGATAACGCTCTGCACGGAGTTCTGAAGTGCCTCATCTTGGTCCTGTAAACAGAGCTTAGTGAGGTTTTCCTGTCATTCTTTCCTATTGACTTGATGTGGATGTTTTCCTTTCAACTTGATGTTTTTCCCACACATTCTCTTTGGCAGGCCTCTTACTTTTAATGCTTTTTCTGGGATCCCTTCAGACGCTTTACCTCTTCAAACACCCTGGCTCAGAAGTTAAATGGGAACTTCGCTCTTTATTCATTTTCATATAATGCCTCCATCACAGATGGACAAATTCTAAGGTATTCACTTTGAAGAAACCTGAGTGTCGCTGTAAAAACATTTGCAGAACACTTAAGAGGGGTTATTCTCAATAAAAAATAAGGATTTGAATTTGTTGAATCAAAGAATAATACATCTAAAAGGTTGGCAGATACCTTGGACAGAGAACTATCTATCTTTGTTTCCTATTTTTCTGGTCTACCTTTCTATCTTTGTTTGCCAATTTTACCTTTAGACTGTTAAAGTGAGAAGAGACACATTTCTTCATAGTGAATTAGGGAGAAGTTAACTGCCTTGGCCAACAGCACTCACCTTGTTAGTGTTTCACCAGCCTTAGAGGGTAGACCAGGTGTCTATCCCATTAGCCTAGCTGCCCTTCAGCAGCAATATTAGACAGCTCTCCCCATGCATGCAGAAGACAAAGTGGCATGCAATGAGGAGGGCAGATTCTAGGCATAAGACCCTAATTTAAACTTTGTGGCCTGGGGTAAATTATCTGCCTCTTATGACCCTCAGTTCTCTTGTCTATAAAATAAGCAAAATAAATGAAACTGCCTCATAGGGTTCTTGTGAGGATGAAAGTTATTACATGTAGATAACTGAGAACAGTGTGTGGAACAAATGTTTGTTATTTTTTTATTAGCTTTATCATCAGTGCATAAATCTAAAATTAAGTAAACAAAAAATATAGAAATAGATGGGCAGTATGCATGCATATATGACAAAAGAAGATAAATACAGTAAAGCTCACTGGGCAGGGATTCTCAGGGAAGCATTTTAAGGAGAGAAAGCCCTGTGTCACCTGTGGATCTGCTTCATCTGTGTCCCACCTTCTGTAGACCTCTCATCTCACCCCTGTTTGCCTGTGGCCACCCTGATCCCTAATATTTGCAGTAAGACACTAATTTGGTTTCGACAGATATACTCCAAACACCCAACAGATACCTGTTCTCAAAAGAATAGACACCAAGGAAAGAAAAAGAAGAGTCAGAAGGCTGGCCTAGTCCTAAATTGTCAAAAATTGTTTCTTTTCTTCTCTCATCACTCCTTCATTCTATGAATCTTGAAAGAATTTCATTCAAATTTCATCAGTCTGAAAGGAACATTACTTTTTTAGTCCATCTCTTTCATTTTATTGGGAGAACTTAAGGGGTAGATGTGGGTCATTTTTTTTTCCACATTCTTGATACTAAGTATGCTTTCTAGAACATTCTAGGCACTAAGCAAATGCTTGTTCAGTGAGTGCTATAATAAATGAGGTACGAACTTGACAATTATGGAACTAGTGGAAAGGAGACATGGGATAAACACATAGGGATAAGGTAAGGGAGAAATAGATATGGGATGTAAATAGAATGCCAAGGATGAATTCTGTTTCTCCAAGTTGTGGAGGATTTATTATTGCTATTAAGTAAGCTATCAGATTTCCTAGAGGTGCATCCTAATTTTCTCTTGTTTTAGTGTTTCAGCATAATGGATATTTTCAAACTACTTCAAATAATTTCGTGTACTTATATGCTGCCAGCCACACCTCCATTACAGGCATTCCATTACATGCATCACCCACGAAGGGTGCTAGAGGGCACTGCTGAGTCCCACCCTTGCCGCTTGCAGAGTCCCTTTTCCATGGAGATTGTGGATGCACAGTGCTTCGGCCTTATCTGGAGC